AGTGTGGGGGCACGACTGCTCTGGGCTCCCCGTATCTGGCCTGTTCCTTCTTGATTAGGACATGCACTGAGCAGAGGCTGAGGGAGGGGCGGGGGGTCAGGGAGGAATTCTCTCCCCACCCCATAGGCTAGTACTGGCTGCTGGTAACGGGGAAGATCAGGACTCTGGCCTGCTGCTTCTCTTGGGGGTGGCAGTTCCGGGGTTGCAGCGCCCCCCGGGGGTCGCCCTGGCCTAGTGGCAGTTCTTGTCATGCGCTGACATCTGCTCTCTGCAGGGATGGATATCTCCCCCATCGACCTCATCAACATCGAGAGCTTCTCCAGCCGGGTGATCTCGCTGTCCGAGTACCGCAAGGGCCTGCAGGAGTATCTGCGCTCCAAGATGGGCCAGGTGGCTCCCAGTCTCTCCGCTCTCATCGGGGAAGTGGTGAGTGCCCTCGGGCTGGGGCAGGGGTGATCTGTGCTCTCCCAGGCCACAGAAATGATGTTCTAGTGTGAATCTGTCAATCCACTGAGCTCTGTGCTGAGACGCGGTCACTGCTGATCCGTGCCCTGGGGAGCGTGCCCATACTAGCCGAAGGTGGCACAGAGTGCAGCATTGCATGCTGGGGCCTGTAATCTAAGCAGCTGGATTGTAGAGCCTCAGCTCTCTCACCACCCTGCTTGTCTCCTTGGCTTGTCTGCAGGTGGGCGCCCGTCTGATCTCCCACGCCGGCAGCCTGACGAACCTGGCCAAGTACCCGGCCTCAACGGTGCAGATCCTGGGGGCGGAGAAGGCCCTCTTCAGGTACAGCTGCAGGGTGGTCGTGGTGATGGCAGGCTTCTGGGCCGCTGGGCTTGACACGTTGGCCAGACACGGCTGCATGCGTCAGTGATAAACCAGCCCCAGTCTCTGAGCGACCACCGAGGCTTTTCCTTCACTCTTGCTGAACGGTTGGGTCTGTCCAGGGAACCCCTGCAGCAGGTTAGCTGTTCTGATCACTTGGGGGGTGGGGGGGAGGGGAGTGAAGGGCAGAGGCTGAGAGACACTAGTGCCAGCCATGCAGGGGTAGCTGGGAGGTGACCAGCACCTGGCCTGGATTTCAGGCCTGGCTGTCACCTGGATCTGACTCCTGGGAAGGAGAAGGGGCCAGGCAGCTTCTGCTGCAGCTGGGATGTTAGGTACTGGTGGACCATGGCTCCCCCAGGCATCCATAGTCGGTGCTGCTCCAGGGTGACTGCCAGCTGCCTTCTGGTCACAGGGAAAGCGGCTCTCCTCACTTCCTGTCGTCTGCCAGTCTGTGAGGAGTGTGACGCCTGCTGGCTCTCCGCGTCCGGCACAGCTAGTGCGTTAGCCGTGGTTCTGCTGCTTTCTGGGGGTGCAGGAAGGAGCAGAGCTGGGTGGTCGGGGGGTGGCCCTCAGACCCGCAGTACGGCTGCAGCCACCTAGGTGTGGTCACCCCCCTGAGCACAGGCCAAGCCGGTCGGATTGGGTTGGCAGTGTCTGGCCAGAGGCCACTCTGAGCGGTCGGTCACCAGCCCCAGCAGGGTCAGGGCTCCAGAGCAACCTTCACTCCCATACTTGTTCCAGGGCCTTGAAGACTCGTGGCAACACCCCGAAGTACGGGCTGATATTCCACTCCACCTTCATTGGGCGAGCGGCTACCCGCAACAAGGGGCGCATCTCCCGCTACCTGGCCAACAAGTGCACCATCGCCTCCAGGATAGACTGCTTCTCAGGTGCCGCTTTCACCCGAGCCCCTGCTGAGCCCGACTGGGGGAGGGTCCTGCCTGGGCACTGCCCCTCCCAGTGGCACGAGATGCCGAGCTGGAGCCCAGTGGAGTGTCAGTCATGCAAATCCCAGCGGCTTCTGCAATGATGGGAATATTTTTCGTCAACAGCATTTCACGTAGTGAATGGTGACACCTGTTTTCTGAGCAAAGCCGGCTCTCGGGCTGGGCAAAGGGGGCTGCCAGCTGGATGGCAGGGGCTGGAGGTTGATGGGGAGTGGGCAGCTGGCTGCGAATGGGGTGGGTGCGCTTTGCTGTAGCTAGCAGCCTGTCATTCACACTGCCCCCTCTCGGCAGATGTCCCGACGAGCATCTTTGGGGACAAGCTCCGGGAGCAGGTCGAGGAGCGCCTGGCCTTCTACGAGACAGGAGAGCCTCCCCGCAAGAATCTTGATGTCATGAAGGAGGCCATGGTGGAGGTGAGGGGGCTGGGAGTGGGCCTGAGGCGCTGCAGGACTCCTGGGCGGGTGCCGGACATGATGTGAAATCTCCTGCCTGACCAACTGCTGGAGGCAAAAACTGATTTAATGAGGCTGATCCGACACCGAGGGAGTGGGGAGCCCGGCCTGCCCCTCACCATGGTCTGTGGTCAGCGCTGATGGAGCCCCGTTGTCCCTTTGCTAGGCTACTGAGGTGGCTGCCGAAATCAAGAAGAAAGAGAAGAAAAAGAAGAGGCGGGAGAAGAAGCGACTGGAAGCCTTGGCCGCGGCAGCAGCTGCTGAGGAAGCCGAGAACTCTGTGCTGGAGACAACCCTGGAGGTAGAGGTAAAGAACCCGGAGTGCGCCCTAGGGCCTAGGCTGGCTGCAGAGGCCTCGCGTTGCTCTCTGATGGGGCAGGCCTGGACCTGGTATTTCCATCATGACTTGTGTGATGCAGACAGGTCCTGTCCAAAGCCTCACCAGCAGAGGGAGAGGAGGGGGTCGGGTGGTCCCCCGCCTGCCTAGGGAGCTCGGAACGAGCGTACAGTGGCAAAAGGCAGCGGCTGGGGGCAGAGGCAGGTGGCTCTGGGAACTGCTGAGCGGTGCGTGGGGCCTGGGCCTCAGCTCCACTGAGTGTCTGTCGGCCTGCCGCTCAGACATGCTCTGAGCCCCCTTGTGACACCCAAAGGCAATGCCTCCGATTGCACAGATCTGGTTACATGCTCCTTGTCTGCATGGTTTAATCAGTGCAACGGCCGACCGGTCAGTGGGCCCTTCAGAGAGTTCACCCCGTCGTGGGAATAGAGCTACATTTTGGAGTTATCGTTCCCAGCTGCCTGCAGACTCAGGCTGACGACACTGTTAGTTGGCCTGCCATATAGGGTTGCAAAGGAAGAGTTTGAGGATGAGAGAGAATGCAGCTGGAGCCCCAGTGTGCTCGCACAGCCTGCTCGTAGATCCGTGTCCTGCCTCCACAGGGAATGTGCTGGGGGGGGGGCACGTCTCCCTCCAATGGCTGAAGCTCCTGGAGGCCCCGAATCCTGGCTGCAGCTCAGACGCTCTGGGTCCGACACGCTGCCACTGCAGGCCGACGCGCTGGGCAATCCTGTGATGGAATGGCAGGTGCAGTGTGGGAGCAGCCACTGTCTGCCAGGTCTCAGATCCTCAGGCAGGACAGCCAGCACATGGCAGGGAGTGAGGAGAAAGCAAAGGGAACGGGGCTGGGACCACCACTGTCCTGGGGCGGTGAAATGGGCTGGTCCTAGTTCTGGCCAGCCCCTGGGTGGCGCTCTCCTCTCAGCTGCTGCTGTCCATGTTGGTCTGTGGCTCTAAGGGGACTTGCTAGGGGATCTGGCCTAGAAAACCACGTGTCCACGCAGCGAAGGCATCCGCCAATGCCAGCCTTTCAGAGCGTTGCACTTTAGCCCAGGTGACACCTGAGCTGCTCCGCAGGGCCCTGCTGCACCAGCAGGGCGTGGGCCTGTGAGCACAGGCTGTGCTGCGCTACTCCCCAGGGGTTCACAGGGCCCTCTAACCCCCCCTCTCTGCTTCAGGAAAACGACACCGAGCCCAAGAAGAAGAAGAAGAAGAAGCACCAGGACACCTCGCTGGAGGAGAATGGGCTGGCAGAAGAGCCCTTGCCCAAGAAGCAGAAGAAACTGGCCCAGGAAGAGCCCCCCCAGTCAGACAAGAAGAAGAAAAAGAAAAAGGTCAAAGAGGAGGATTAAGGGGGGGGGCATTCCCAGGCCTTGCTTGTGGGACGCCGGGGGACCTGGGCTGCAGCAGGACCGACTGCTCAGCACCCAGACAGTGGCAGGACACTTCCCTTTCCCGGCTCGCTAAACCTCTTGTTTCTCGTCCAGCATTTCAAGGCAGCTGCGTGTCCTAGAATGTCCCCAGCCGGAGCAGCCGCGTTAAATGCGGTTTGGTATCTGGCGTCTCACCTGAGTCTCTGCAGAACTTCCAGTGCTCTGGGCTCGCTCTGGCAGAGGCTCAATTCGCGGCACGTCGGGCTGTGCCTAGCCACTGGTTTGACGTGGCTGAGACGGTTATTCCTTGGAGCGTCTGGCCTGGGACCTTGGAGCCCGCCCCTCTGGGCTGTTCCGTTCTCAGGCGGCTACGGCAGAACGTGCTCCCATGGACTCGGCATCTGGCACGGCTACCACCTCCCCTCTGCACTGCAGCGGTGGCCAGGGGGAGCCTGGCCCTGCAGGGGGGAGGGACTGCTGGGCCAGGGACCAGGGTTTGTGTTTCTGCTCAAGCCTTGAGCTCCGTCCACTGCACAGGGTGTTAACTGCGGAAGCAGAGGGAGTGGAATGACCTCCTGGCCCTACCTGTGACTGAAACACACTTCCACTAACAATAAACGTCTCAAGCTTTTCAAGCCTCTCTTTATTTTTAAGATCAAGACTTCCCTGTGCTGCCCCAGCTCGGCCTGGCCTCTGGCTTCTAGCTCTGCAGGTTTGCAGCCGCCCAGAGCATGAGCCAGAGGAAGACGATTGCTCCAGGCCCGAGGGCTTTCATTTCTTGGGTAAAGATTTAAAATAGGGCAGGTTGTGTCCAGTTGTGAGTCCCTCCTTCAGGCTGTACGGCTGAGCCCGTGGCGCAGGCAGGACCCCAGCAATGGTGTGCACTGGGAAGCTGGGGTGCACCCCAGCACTGTACGCTTGCCTACGATAACCGTTGTGTGCTCTCCCTGGGGTGACTGGCCTGGTGCCGCTGCCTCCCTGTGTTAGACCACCCCACGGGGCCCTTTACAACCCCTATCCTAAAAACCAAGCAAGGGGGAGAGGATAAAACCTCAGTAGGATGGCGGGGGGGGGGGGGAGGTTCAGAAGCTGGAAATGAGCAGTTCAGTTTTGCCCATGTTTGTTGACAGCAGAGACAGGTCCCTTTGCTTAACTCTTCCATTCAGTGCTCCCTCCCTGAGCTTGTGGGGGGGGGGGGGGCATACAGAATGGCTGTTGCACCCAATGGCTATAGACAATTGCAAGCCAGCATATCCCCAGCCTCAGGGCCAACAAGCAGGCTGGGGCTTCTGGTTTTTTTCCCCATTTTCTCCAACAGCTGAGTTCTAGCCACTGCTGCCTAAAACGCTCCCTCAAATGATGGATTGATCAGAAGTGGCCTCAACACTTACTGTGTTATAGACAAATGCCACGGAGGTGGGCAGGTTCTCCAACACCTCTGTCCCCTGCAGTGTCTGGGGTCTCGGTCTCTGCCTGTCCCCCAGACCAGTCTCGGCACCTGAGAACCAATCTGAGCCTAACTAAAATCGCTGGGTTCAGCAGCAGGATAGCCAGGTCCTGTTGAATGGTGTGAAAGCAGGAGGACAGACTGGCTGCTCTCAGGGGCCCTTTTGGCCTTACCTGCCGCCAGGCGTTTGTAGTTTTATAGCCGTTGTCACCGCCGGCTGGTTTCCCATCTGAATCTAGGCCGGCTTGGGCCTGGGTCGTGTGTGATCAGAGCTAACTGTAACTGTTGCTGCTCAGGTCACTGCTGCTCAAAGATGGCACAGCAACGAGCAGGGGGTGGGAGGTCAGACAGCAGTTGTGACTCAAGGCTCTGGGCCCACACACATCATGTTTGTTTCAATTCTTAGCATTGAGCCAGGCCTGGGGGGGCTTTGATAAAATGCAGAGCAGATGTTACAACCAGTGCTGCTGAGAGCCCCTGGCCAGTGGCCTGAGCTCTGCTCTCCCAGGGGGAAGGCAGCAACGTCTGCCCTGGGACAAGGGGATGGAAAGAGCCCTGGGTGGGGTGAGAGCAGGGAAGGGTCTGATTCTCCCTTGTGTTGTGAGGGGGGGTCCCTGCAGGGGCAGGTGGAGGCTGCTGAGTCCAGCAGCTCCCCCTCCCCCCCCAGCACTACTGGAGTGACCCTTTTACGAGTAGCAGCCTAGGGGGTGATGTCCATTCTATGCCCCCACCCAGCTGGGCCTCTGCTGAAGTGGGGGATGCACTCTCCCAAGGACTGGTTATAAGCCCCTCCTACATTCTTTCCCCACACCCTGGGGGCAGAGCGGGCTGAATGCCCAGTCCCTCTGTCTCCCCTAGTGTCGGCTCTGGGCTCCACCACAGGCTCAGGTGCAGGGGGGGCTGAGATCAAACAGCACCCCCTCCTGGCAGAAACCCCCAGCAAGAGATGTGGCCACCACAGGCTCAGGTGCAGGGGGGGCTGAGATCAAACAGCACCCCCTCCTGGCAGAAACCCCCAGCAAGAGATGTGGCCAGCAGACTGCTTTATTGTGCATGACACAGACAGGCCAGTGCACGGGGACGCTCCCCCTTGAAGGCAATAAATTACCAGGCAGCTGGATTCAAAGCCGGGAGGATTAGCAAGCAGGAGCACGGGAGGAACTGCAGCCTCTGCGGGGCCTAGTCAGCCAGGGCTCCAATCACAGCCTGGGTGAAGTCGAGGGACGTGGCGTATCCGCCCATGTCTGCCGTCCGCACCTGCAACGAGAGGGGTGGGGCCTGTTAGCACGGCCCAGACGGGTACGCTGCAGGGGCCCTCTGAGCGTTCCAGCCCGTGTGCTCTGCCAGCCGCCTTCGCCTCTGCGGTGAGCCCTGCCCTGGGGCCAGGCTCCAAGGGCTTTGACCCACGCTCGGGGCTGCTCCTCCATCCGTTTAGACATCGCCCCTTAGCCTGGCAGCGTTCTGCCCAGCTGCAGAACCACTCCCAGCAGCGTAGGGCTGGGCCCAGGCTCGCCACCAGGGACAAGCCACCACCGCCAAACAGCTTGGGGTGATGATAAAGAGCCCTATCGCGAAGGGCGGAGGGGAAAGGGCCACTGTCAGGGCCTGGCTCGCTACTGCTGCAGGACACTGCCTGCAGGGGAAGACCGCAGCCTGTTAATGACACTCTCAGAGGGGACTAAATGGGTAGGAGCCACAAACACCTGTGAGGACAGAGCCATGAGCCCATCAGCCCGAGCACGAATAGAAACATGGGCAGAGACACACGATTAAGCTGGGCACATGCAGGTAAACCCAGCGCCTGCCTCCCCCACACGCTATGGAAACCAGCATCCCCCCAGGCAAGCATTCACAAACGCCTGCTCTCAGGTTGCCATGCTAACCCCTGCCCCGTCTTCTGCCCACCTAGTGTTGCCTTCCTCTGTGCCCAGCAGCTCTCCTCCAGTCCCATCACACTCTAACCCTTGCCCACCCTGCCCTCAAGCATTTAAACCCCACCGAACTCTTGGGGAACAGAGGTGCTGGCGCTCTTGGTACAGGAGCAAAAAACTGTAACATACTTGTGAGCTGCATCTGCCAAGCGTCAGGGCAGAGCAAGGATATGGTCAGGCCTCGCTTGGGGGGGCAGGGAGCGACTGGGAGAATCGACTTAGCTAGAGCAATCCAAGATCTAGCTCCAGCTTTGCTGACCCCTTGTCTACACGTGTGCCACTACAGCACTTCACAGTAGCTACGACCTCTGCCCACAGGAGGGTTCTCCCGGCAGCCTGGGTCCGTCACCTCCCCGCGAGGTGGGAGCTAGGCCGACGGGCGAATTCTCCTGGCGAGCTAGCGTGGTCTACATGCTATTGGATGAAGGGGGCAGCTGAGGCCGAGCACTAGGAGTAGCTCTTCCTGCCCGTGGAAGTGAGAAGAGACACAAGCCTCATTGCTGGAGACTGGAAACCAGGCTGGCCAGAAACCCACTGGCCCTGGGAGGGAGGGCAGGCCTAGGGGTGTGTCAGTGTTGGCTCGCTCACTCTGATCCTACCTCACCCATCTCTGGGCACCACCTTCCTGAGGGGCTGGTACGAACCTTTTCAAACCGCAACAAGGCCAGTTACCATCCGTTTGAGCTACTCAGCAATTCCCCCCACCGCGTCCCGGGCTCCGACTGCGCTGCCCCAGGGCTGTAGTAGGGGAAACACAGGGGCTTTGCAGGCTGACATCTATCTTCATCAGGCTAAATAAAGTACCAGAGAGACGGGAGGGGAGCCCAGCAGGGAGTCGGAGGCAGGCAGCGGCGGGTGCAGCTGACGGCCCCCGCTTTGACTGGTCCCAGTGTCTGAACAGGCTCATCTTGCCCCCCCCCCCGGGCAAAGCTGCTGAGTGGGCAGCCGGCCTGGAGCACAGGACACCTGAGTCCCTCTGGCTGATGCAGCCTCTGCAGCGGGCTCCCTGCTCGCGCTCCCTGTGGTGGGGGTGTTGGACTTCTCTCCTGCTCCTGCCTCTTCTCTCCTCACTGCTGTTGCCATCTGCTGCCCACCCAACTCCGCCCTCTCAGCCTTCCTCTTCCATTCCCACCCCGGCTCTCTCCCCCCTGCCAGGCCCTTCTCTCCAGCCTCCACCCACACCCTCTTGCCCCCCTGACCCAGGCAGAGTGCAGCTGGGGCCCATTTTCCTCTCTTCCCAGCCCTCCTCTGGCACAGCAAGGCCCTTCTCAGCCTGTCCCCACCAACCGATCATCCCATTCGCTAGCGAGGGAGCAGCTCCTGCCGCCAATCAGCCCATGAGCTCAGCACCCAGCACTACATTTTCAAAGGCGCCCTGGCCTGCTCTGTCTTCTGCTGCCCTCACCCTTAAGAGGTCCCTGTGAAACAGCCACAAAACCAACCACCTCCTCCTCCACATCGCTCCTTCGATGGGACGCCAACAAAAGAAATCCCGCGACACTGGTTAGGAGGCTGGGGCACGGATACCACTGCCTATCAATACTCTCTCATTGGTTCCTTGTATTCCCCACCTGCCTGGTTGTAGATGGGCAGGAACCATCTCTTTGTTCTGTGTACAGCACCAGGCACCCTGGGGTTCTGATCTGTGACCAGGGTCCTAGGTGCATGTTCGACACCTGCACACACAGTGCACACTTGCTAAACGGCAGGCACAGAACTCCAGGGACGGAGCGTACCAGGCTCTCCTACTCCTGGGCCACCCCCCCCCCTTGGAAGGAATCGCTACATAGCAGAGGTATTAGGCCAATCCTTATGACCTGCGCAGAGGCCCAGACGTGCTCCACCCTCAGCTGGCTCCCTGAGGCAATGCTTTCGCCTCCAGCCACCAGGAAAAAAGCCCGCTTCTGGAGCTCCCCTCCTGCTGGGGCCAAGTCCCTCCCTCCCCCCGCTCAGGGCTCAGCATGGCCGGGTTCTCTCTCTGGAGCGATGTGGCTCCTGCAATGGCCTACCAGGGCAGGGCCGCGGGTGCCTCGTGCCGTGCCCAGTAACGTGTGCTGGGGAAAGCCCCGCATGCAGGGCTGAAACTAGGACTCACGGAGACACGCAGCACCTGCGAGGAGGCAGGGAGGGAGGGGAGAGTGTGATAATTTATTCATGAGTATTAGTACAAAGCCCAATAAATACATTTTCCATTTCCTGAAGTGTGCTCCCAGCCCGCACGGCAGCGGCCCAGCACCGCGATAGGGGCCGGAG